CGGGGTGGCGCCCACACTGGCGGGCAGAGCCTGGAAGGACAGGGCCTGGGCTTCACGGAGGGGCGTCGAGACCAGCACTCGTCCCCCCCTCCCGTGCCCCGCCCCGCCCAGGCCTTCCTGCTCGCCTTCACGTCCGACTTCCTGCCGCGCGCCTACTACCAGTGGAGCCACGCGCGGGACCTGCGGGGCTTCCTCAATTTCACGCTGGCGCGCGCCCCACCCACCTTCAGCGCAGCGCACAACCGCACGTGCTGGTCAGTGCGGGGGACGCGGGGGCAGGCGGGAGACAAGGGCCAGGGACCTTCCCACGGACTGCGGGGCCCACCTCGATTCCTGCATGTCTCCTACACGGTTTCAAACCTCACCCTGGAAGCATCGCCCCCCGCCCCCCGAGTCTGAGCGGACCCCTGGTGCGGCGGGGCCCAGCTCTCTGCTCCTAGTTCTTCCGTAGAAGGAGCCCTGGTGGTTCCGTAGTTACACGTTGCACTGCTAACCACAAGGTCAGCAGTTCAAAACCACCAGCCGCTCTGCAGGAGAAGGACATGGCTTTCTATGCCCATAAAGAGTTGAAAAGAGTCAGTCTGGGAAACCCACAGTGGCAGTTCTGCCCTGTTCTATAGGGTCTCCATGAGGGGTCAGTGCTACTCTGTTCTATAGGGTCACTGTGAGGGGTCAGTTCTGCCTTGTTCTATAGGGTAGCCATTGAGGCAGTTCTGCCCTGTTCTAGAGGGTAGCCGTGAGTTGGAACGGGCTTGGTGGCAGTGAGTTTGGCATTTCCATAGATCACCTTATAGGTAGTCTATGGGCTCCTGCCATCAGCACACCCACCCTTCCTCCAGCAAGCAGCTCTTAACCGCTTTTCTGCTCACAAGTCCCTCCTGATCAGCTGCTGCTGCAGACTGGCTCCTTTGCTTCAGCTCCATCCCACACGGCTCCCTGCTGATGCATCTTGGGAACCTGACTGGCTTTGTGCACTGCTCTGCTGCACTCGGGGCTCGCTCCATAGGCCATGGACTCTGTGGGGTTCTGTCCACACAGGGCCGTGCTGTCAGCAGAGAGCCCGCTGCATCCTTGCTGATCTGCATGGCACCACCTGGTCTCTACAAAAAAAAGACCTCTTTCTCCTTGGGGATGATGATGATGACGGTGTCAGGTGCCATTGAGCTAGTTCCAGCTCCCAGGGGCCCTGTGTGCAGCAGAAGGAAATGCCTCTGTCTTGTGCCAGCCTCCCAGTCATTGTGCCCTAGCCCAGCATTGTAGCCGCGTCACCCTGTGGGGTCTTCCTCCCTCTTGCTGCCCTCTGCTCCGGATGTCAGCCGTGTATGTCTCACACGTGAGTCCCTTCATCAAGTTGAGACGATCCCTGTCTACTTCTAGCCTGTTACATTTTTATCGAGAGAGTGGGTTTTGTCTGTACTTTGCCTGCCTCGGTGGAGATGAGCTCGGGGGTGGGGGGGTGGCTCCGTAGCTCTCTTGCCGGTGCACTGCACTGGAGCAGAGGAAGGCCACCGGCAGCATGGCTGGACAACGTGGCTGCCTCAATGGGCTCAGACGTCGTCGCGGTGTGAGAATGGTGCGGACTAGGGTGGCGCATCCTTTGGTTGTCCATTGGGTCACTACGAGCAGGAACCAACTGGGCAGCACTTAACACAGCATTGCATTGATTGATTATATGTTGAACCAACCTTGCATTCCTGGGATAAGAGAAGCCCCTCTTGATCATGGTGTGTGACCCTTTCAAGGTGCCTTTGAGCTTGGCTTGTGCCCCTGTGTTAGGGTTAAATACCCATGGAGGGAGGGCTGGTCTGTAGTTTTCTTGTGGTGTCTTCCCCTTCCGGGCAATGCTCACCTCTAAGATTGTGCTAAGAAGGGTCCTCTGTGACAGTAAACCAGCCTCTGACAACCGCAGGGTCCGTAGGCACAATTGTACGTCGATAATATATAAAGATCATAGTAAAGTCATTGAAGGTAGGAGAGAGAATAAAGGAGTCAGACACATCTCATGGTAGCATGTTCACCTCCGGGACGGCCATGGTCTCAGCTGCCAGGGCCGCGCAGAGAGAATCTTTAGTCTCAGGGTGTTGGTAGGTAGCCATGAGACATGCGTATTCAGCAGTTCCATGCGTCACAAGGTGGGTGGTATCCACAGTAAAGTCCCTGAGCTCACAGGTGAGGAAACCGAGTGCCTGCACTGGGGGAAGGATGAGGGGGGATGGGTGCTGCGGCGGGAGGAGATAAGGAGAATGTCTGCCTCTGCAGGCAGACAGAATTGACCACGTGCTCACTTTAAGGCAGCACAGCTGTTAGGGGAGAATCTGTGGGAACGATATTTAAAGCAGGATCATGTACTTGGACTTTATCTCTAACGTACCAAAGTGGTGGCTTTCCTACCGTGGAATACTGGCTTTCCTGATGCCCTTTGTCATACGTTGGGGACTAGAGTCCTCGTCCTGTTCCCTCAGTGTCAGTTTCCCACAGTCCTCCTTGTCCACCCTGTTAAGCAAGACTGGTGTTACTTTTTCTTCTCGACTTTCATGACCTCTCATTTTATTTTAAAAATCAATTAATTGATTAGTTGTTTTCTCTCTCACTTTCTGACCGGCGTTCCCATTTCTGCAAAGCTGCGGATTTACGAGGGCAAGGAGTAGGATGTGGCTGCTGCCTCACCCACTGTTGTACAGCCTGGACTCTAGTGTGGCCCTTGCTCAGACGGTACTCTAGTGGCCCAGTCTGATGCGGCCCGTTGGTGGTGTTATGAGCCTTGGCCTCTGTGGTTGGCCAAGCTGAACCAAGTCTTGGCTGTGTGTCAACACTGGTAGTCCAGGCCAGCTCTGTGAGAGCCCCTCACCCCCCCACCCCACCCCCCGGGAATATGTCTGTTGGCTTTATGTAATTATGTGGTCTGGGCAGTCACCTCTTGTTCTGCTAACAGAAGATGACCTTGTCCAGTCCAGCATTGTGTGGCCGGCCACCCTAAGACCACACATTTCATGCAGAGACTTTTAGGGACTGCCCTGAAGCACTTACTTGTAGTCTCAGACCCTACTGGGCACTGGAGGAGGGTTTTCTGGTACAGCGTACCTTCTTTGATTTGAACGGTCAATTCCCACGGGGACACCCACAGGGCAAGACTCTGGACTGGAGAGCTTTTAATAGTCAGTTGTCTGTCACCCACTTTTTCTGGCCAGAGCCACGCCATCCATGCCACGTGAGTGCTTCCACAGCTGCTGGAAGCCCAGCTTGAAGTTCATGCCGTGGCGCTGATGTGATCTGATTTTCTCCCTTAGGGACCCTGTGGTCAGTGTGGGCTGCATGCTGTGCCCTGCTGTGGACTGCTGTTAGAAAACCAGGCAGATGGCTTAGCGCCAAAGGCTTAGACGTGTGGGGTGGCCCCATGCACCTGTGTGTGGCGATGGGCATCTGAGAGGTTAGGGTCCGGAGCCTGCAAGTGCTCCCGTTCTGTGGGAGACTGTTCCAGTCCCAGTTCTGTTTGAGCTTTTGATGGGCAGGTCAGAGCTGAGCCTGGGGAACGCAGGTCTACACACAGCACCCAGTAGTCCTCCCCTGCGCCCCCTACCCACACCCTACCCACACACAGGCCACGCTTGTGCTCACTGTCAAAATCCGCTGGTCCTTCCGCACAGGTTCGCTCTCTAGTCCCCAGGACACAGAGCCTTTCTTGGCCAGTATGCGGTTTTCAAACGTGGTATTTGAAAGCATCTCTATAAAAGCCCATGCCCTGGATCCCCTGTGGGTCTGTTTTCTGTTGCCTATTATTTCTCTTGGCTTCAGACTACATTTTCTCGTCCACTCACTTGTCTCCTCACTCCCTTTACCCACACTCTGTGCCTGATGTTGGAATCTGTCCCTAGTGACTGGAGGCCTAGCATCCTCTCTCCTGGAGCAAGTGCTTGCTTTACTTTCATCAGGTGGTTGGGTCACAGCAAGCCAGGATGTAGATGACCTGGGCTGGGCCTGGCTTATTTTTACCCCAGGTTGCAGCCTGGCGGGCTCTCGGGCCACACCCACCTCCTGGAATGGGTTCTGGTAGAAATGGAAGGTCAAGCGAGCATCTTGGCTCAGCTTCAGCCTCTGCCCTTGAGTCAGAGTAGATGGAGCTCCTGCTCTGACCTCCACAGCCACCCTGGCGACAGCATGGTCTTGCCTCCAGACTCCCACTTGTCTGTGCTGTGCGGCCCCTGCCCCCGCCCACTAAGAGGGCTAACCCTCCTCCCTCACTGCTGGGCTACCGTGGCTGAGGGCTCTTCTCCCAGAACAGGTGTGGCCCGTAGGACAGAGCCCCCAGGGCAGTCCACAACTGCTTTGACACTGGGTCCCAGTGTCCTGCACCCACAGGTACCAGGCCTTCCGGGATGATGATGGGCACTACTCTCAGGCCTACTGGAGCCTCCTGGCCATCCGTCTGGCCTTCGTCATCGTGTTTGAGGTACTGGGCAGCTGCTGGGCCTCGCCAATGGCGCTTTCTGCCTTGGTGCTGTGGGTTGGAAGACTGTGGTCAGCAAGAACCAAGGAAGAGGGTCTCAGCTCCTCAGCACACCCCATCCCAGCTTGGGAAGTAAGTCTAGGTTGAGGTGTGACTGAACCCTGAGCCCGTGGATGGACGGCTCGGCTCCAGCCCCAGCCAGCGGCCCCTCCCTACACAACACTAGTGCTGGTCCACTCGGCCTGGGGAGCAGGGTGGGGAACCAGCCTAAGAGGCAGCTCCAGCCCAGCCCCCAGCCTCCTCTGCTTCCAGCACGTGGTGTTCTCCATTGGCCGGCTGCTGGACCTGCTTGTGCCCGACATCCCTGAAGCGGTGGAGATCAAGGTCAAGCGTGAATACTATTTGGCCAAGCAGGCGCTGGCCGAGAACGAGGTAAGGCCCTCAGCCCTGCGGGGAAGCTGAGGCCCTGCTGGTCCTTCGAGTCCAGAGCCTGACCGCCCACCCCTCCTGCACACAGGCACTGTTTGGGACACACGGGGCCGAGGACAAGCTCCCAGGCTCAGAGGCGAGTCTGAGCCCACAAGCGTAGGGGGCCAGCCTGTCCTGTCCCTCTGGGCTCCGGGGACCTGGCAGGGTCCCAGCTGTGGAGGAGGCAATGCATTATGCTGTCTCAGCATCCAGAAAGGCCCCAGTGAGCGAATGCTGGCCCCGCCTCTGGCGAGCTAGCCTGGTGTGTCCCCACAGCTCTGCGTGCCCAGGTCCAGGCCCGGCCCGCCCGCCCGTCAGAACCGTTGGTGGCTGGCTGCACTGCAGCGGGTCACTCGTCTAACAGTGGGCTCCCTGCAAAGCATGAGGCAGCAGCCCAGCCCAGGCCATGCTGACAGCTGGCAAGGGGTCTTGCTGCGTCTCCTCCCCACCTGACCTGGGGCCCTGTACCACCCTCTACCCACTCTTCCCTCAGCTCACCCGTTCGGCCACCACCCAGATAAAACTCCACTCAATTCAGAGGGCCCAGGCCAGAGGTGGCTTGAGCAGCAAACGCCCTCCCGGGCCTTCCTGTGCTGTGAAGGTCTCAGAGCCGAGTGCACACACGGGACCCCGACTGGCCTCTGCTTGCCACCTGTACTCTGCTCCCTGGCCCCGGCTGCTGAGCAGAATAAACACACTGGTCCTCCGGGGTCTGCCTGCTTCCTTTGGGTGGGTCCTTAGCAGTGAGCGGCTGGCAGTGACGCCCGGCCCCGCATCCAGTAAGACAGCAATTGCCCACGTGTTTCCCAGACTGTAACTTTGTATTTCCGAGAGTAGAAAGCCATCTCTCCCTCCAAGTGGCTGGCAGTTTGGGCCTGCAGACTTTGCAGTTAGCAGGGCGGCATGTAACCCCTGTGACCCCAAGGGCTCCTGGCACAGTGATGTGTGTGCGCGAAATGCTGCCCCTGCCCTGGGAGCCGTGTGGCCTCGGGATCATTCTTGGGAAATGACACTGGGAACTGGGACAGGCCGTCAGTACTGCTGCCCAGAGTGACCAGCTCATGCTGATGAGGGGACGTGTGTGGGGTGCTCGGCAGGACAAGTAGAGGCACACTGACCCCCTCACCCCTGCCCGGGGGCCCAGCATCCTAGGCAAAAAGAGGCTTTGCACACGGAGCGATTTCAGGTTTTATTGGCGAATGTGTCAAGTCCTAGTGCCCTTGTCCCCAGAGCGGTCATTTGTCTGCAGTTAAGGCCGAGGGCTGGAGCCAGGGCATGGAAGACAGTCGGGCAGGGACAGCTGCCCGGAGCCCCGCAGAGCTGGCACTGCAGGGGTGAGGCCGCACAGCCGTGAGAACTGGGAGGTGTGGGCGATCAGAGCCTCAGGAAGACGGAGGGAGGAGCAGGTGAGGCTCCAGCTGCTCAGACAGGAGAGGGGATGGCCTTCCCTCAGAGTGGGGAGCCTGAGCCAGGAAGGAGAGCCCTCCTCACCTTGCTAAGGTCACTGGGTGATACCCGCCTGCCCAGCCAGCCTCTGAGGCTGGTCTAGGGCTGAGGAGCTGGGGCTGCCTAACGGTGAACACTTAGGAGAGGTGTGCTGAAGCGGATGTGACCATCTCCGGGGGACAGCAGCCTCTTCTGCTGGCTGCAGGAAGGGGGCGGCTCCCCTGGAGCAAGCTCCGCAGGTGGGCAGGCCAGCACCCACCAAGCTCCACCTGCAGACCTCTCCGCCTGCCCTGCCCAAGAGCAGGCATCTTCCTGCCTGGGTCCCCTGCAGCCAGGCCAGGCCCCAGTGGGGAAACCACCACACCTGGCCAACCAAAACATCTCAACAGAGAGGGGAGGCACTGGGGGTGGCATTGCCCTAGGCGAGACTGTCAGCTGGCTTTGAGGTAGAGAAGGCAGGTGTGTGCATGGTGGGGGTGGGGGCAGAGACAGACCGGCAGGAAAGAAAGAGTGTTGGGGCCGGCCCTCGGCGGAGCCCCAGATGACTGCCCTGCTGTGCAGGCAGGGTCCCTGCACTCCTGTGGGGCTGGGAAAGGAAGAGGGCAAACGTTTTGGCTTTTAGAAAGTTGAGGAAATTTATTTCCTGAGGTCATGACACAGGAAGTAGACTCCCAGCCAGAGGCAGAGCTCTGGGAAGGAAGGTCAGAATGCTGACGGACATGCTGGGGCCGGGAAGCTCAGTCTGGTGGCGGTGGCGAAATGTTCAATGACCTTGTTTAGTGTTTGGAACCGTGGCGAGCCGTCCCGGAGCCGGGGCTGGGCGGGTCCTGAGGGCAGGCCCCTATGGGGGCCCAAGGCCGCCCAGGCTTCCTGCGAGACCTCGGGAGGGGAGGGGAGCGGCGACACTGAGCGGCCCAGCTGCCAGCTGGTCAGGTGGGCAGACCGGGAGCACTGGGGCTGCAGGGACATCCGCTTCCTTGGCATTACCGCTTGGGGCCCCACGGGAGGGTCTTGGGGGCCACCTGTGCCCCAAAGCTGGGGAACTCTTCCGAGCTGCTCACGTCCGGAGCCTGTGGGGACCAGGGCCAGCTCAGTGGGATGTCCCCTTCCCACCCCACCTGGGAGCCTCGTCCTGGGCACGTGCCCACGCCCCACCTTCGCACTGCTGGGGGCCGTCCAGGGCGCGTCCCGCACCACGAAGCCCTTGGATGGGGCCCTGGCCTCCTCGTGCACCGGGGGGGGCTTCATGTACACCTGCAGTGCCTCGTTGTCCACCACGTCGGCCAGCTGTGGGCACAGAGTAGTCAGGCCCCGCTGCCCCTAGCACCCCGCCCTACGCTCCCTCAGGCCGCCCACCCCTGGTGGGTGGGAGGCACTCACATATTCCTCTTCCAGGTTCAGGATGTGGTCGATGGCCTCCTCCACATTCTCTGGGAGGCCCGTCACGGTGACACAGTTGGGGTCCGGGGCCCCGCTCTGAGGGAAGCGGATGTCCACCTAGGAGGAGGGTCAGTTAGCCAAGGCCCAGGTGCTGGGCACACACCCACAGGACCACCCGTCAGCAGGGCTCCCTGGGGTCCGACAGCACATGACAACACAGGCAACCTGGGTCCTTCCTCACCGGAGTGGTAAAAGCCAGGCAACAAGCCCCTACCCTCTCCTGCCCACGAGGTGACCGTTGGGGTCTCAGAACAGGGCAGGGGCACGCTTGGTGGGGTGTGTGGGTGACAGTCCCCACAGCCTGTATGCTGTGCTATGGGCGTCCTTACAGTGGCCCACCTTGAATTCGTCCATGACCTTGCGGATGGCCTTTCCTCGGGCGCCAATGATGCGCGCGTGGACACGGTGGTCCAGCGGGACGTCCTCAGAGACCATCTGCTCCAGCTCGCCCACGATCTTCAGGATGGCGTCACGGGCTGCTTCCGTGTTCTTCTCGTAGCCCGTAATGGTAATCTGCTCCTGCGGGCAGAGACCACGTCAGGGGCCACGCTGGCCACCAGCCTGCCGCCTTCCTCCTGTCCCATGCTGCATCTAGAGAGCAGCTGGGAGCCCGACAAGAGGCGCTGCACCTGCCCCACCCCTGCCCCACAGCCACATGGAAGCAGCCCTGTGCTTGCCCCTCTCAGCGTGGAGGTCTGGGCCGTCTACACAGGTTGGCTGTGGCAGGGACAGCACCGTGGGCAGACCAGACCCCCTGCACTTGGGGAAGAAGCGAGGGAGACAGGACAAGACTAGCACCCACAACACTCTGAAACTGCTAGGCTCACGCTCCTCCCTCCCCAGGGCATGAGGAGCGCAGCACGTGCAGATTGCCCACCCCATGACCGAGCGGCCAGGGGCCCCCCGCCGCCCCGGACCTGGCTGCCATCGTCCTTGTCGGGGAACTGGATGTTCACATCGTGCTCCAGACGGATCTGCGTGATCACAGCCCCCTTCCGGCCTATGATCTTGGGGTGGTACTTGGGGTCCACAGCGACGCTCAGCTTGAAACTCCGCAGGGCCTGGGGCAAGGGGGTGCCAGTCAGTGGGGTGTCCCTGCCTGCTGCATAACCAGCCCCCAAGAGGAGAGGAAACGGGCCAGGCATGCACTGGGAAGAAGCTGTCCTCCTCCGGGGCGCCCTAGGCCCCGTGGGAAGCTGGGTGGGGAAGCAGTGCGGTGCTCACTCGCTCCTCCTGCTCCGCCTGCAGCTCCCGCACACGTTCCAGCAGCCCCACCTTGGCGCGCTCCAGGTGGGCAGCCAGCCCCGTGATGGCGATGGTGTCAGACTGCAGCTCAGGGGCTGGCACTTGTATGTTCACCTGCACAGACATCAGCACCCACCAGCTTAGCTGTGCTAGGGGCCGTGTGGGGGCGGAGGGGGGGCCCTGTCCCCACGAGACAGCTAGCCCCAGCCCCACCCCAAAGAACAGGGTCACCTCAAACTCGTCCATCATCTTCCGGATCCCACTTCCTTTCTGCCCGATGATGTAGCGGTGCAGGTCAAAGGGCACTTCTACCTCAATGGTGACAGGAACCAGTGCCTGCAGGAGGCGGGCAGCTTGGTCAGAGTGGGCACCATGGCAGTCTTGAGGATATTCACTGGAAAGGGGGCTGGGCTGTGGGGGTTCCTACAGAGGCGGCTCCACTCACCTCGCCTGGGTGCAGAGACTGGGAGGGGCCCCCAGTGACAGCCTTTGCAACCTGATCCTTGCATGTGCACATGCATACCCAGAGGGGAGGGAAGGTGGGGCAGGAGACACACCTGTAGGGCCTCCCGGGCGGCCTCACACTTCTCCTTGCGGCCTGAGATGACGATGATGTCGCATCTCCTTGGAGAACCGGGCTCGGCCTCCTTGCCTTCTCTCCCCTCAGCGGCCTCATCCCCATTCTCCTGCATGGCCGGCTCCACACTGTGAGCTGTGGTCAAGGGCAAGGGGAGTTGCAGGCAGCCCGAAGACCAAGGCAGCAGCTGCTCCACAGGTCTCAGACCTCTATGAGCACAGGGGAGACACCGGCAGGATCCTGGGGCAGATCGGGCTCTCAGGGGCCAGCCAGAGAATGCTTCATAGCTGGAGCCACCTCTGAAGCCAGCTGGTGGCATGCACAGTGTTGCACGGGGAGACCCGAGCCCCTGAAGGGCTGTGTGCAGGAGGGCGGTCTGGCCAGAGGCAGTGGGTGCCTGTCACGTTAATGCAGAGCACGGTGTACCCAGAAAGATGTGTGGAGAGCATTAAAGGTGAGTGAGCGTGGGTGGCTGTGCTCGGGTGTCTGGTAGCAGGTGAGGGGCACCTGAGGGTGCTAGATGTGCAAGTGGCCATGGTTCGGACATATCTGCTCACACTCCACTCCAGAGGGCAGGGGGCCAATGGGCTGCGTGCTCAGCCAAGACATACTCCAGGAGGCTAAGGACAGATGGACAGAGCTGGACACAGAACCTCAGAGCTGCACAAGCGCAGCCCCTCCCCGCAGCCAGGGGCCAGGCAGATGCTGTCCGAATAGCTGCAGGCCACCAGCAGCTGCTCAGGACATCCGGAAGACCCCAAGTGGATGGACGTTGACCAGCTCCTAGCTGCAGGCAGCTCTCTGGACACCCTGCTGTGAGCCCCCCTCATGGCCTTGGCAGACAGGCGTCAGCAGCCTGAACCAGTGGGCGTGCCTGACCGCAGCTGTGGAAGAGGCCCACGCAGCACTGGCCGTCCTGGCACCACCTACCTGGGTTCTCCTCTCTGTCGGGGAACTTGATCTGCACGCCATGATCCCGAGTGATTTGCTGGATCCGGGAGCCCTTAGGGCCCATGACGTTGCGGTGGAACCGCTGGGGGATGGCGCACTCCAAGGTTACCTGGGCTTCCTGGGGGGGGAAGACATGAGTGGAGTTCACTCCCCTGCCCCGAGCACGCCCAGGGGCACCCCGGTCCTGTGGGGCACGCACGCACCAGGTCCTCGATGATCTCCTGGATGCGCTTCTTTGCGGCCTCCACGCAGTCCTTGGCACCCTTGAGGGTGACCTTGTCGCTCTGGGTGCCGGACCTCGGGAAGCTCACCATCACCCCTCCATACTCCTCTGCTATCTCCCGTAAGACCTGGCCCCTCCGGATCACAAAGTGCCGGTGGTGCTTGGGGTCCACCAGCATGGAGTCTTCCACCACGTTGTCCTGTGCACAGAGAAGGAAGGGCTTGGTGCCCGCCCGCCCACCCATCCACCTGCCCAACGCCGGGTGGATGGGGTCCCCCACTGACCAGGTTCTGGATCAGGGCCTCTAGCTCCTTCTGCGCCTCCCTGACGGCGTCCTCCTTTCCGATGACGGTGATCAGGTCCTGGTCCTTGTCCTCGGCCGTGGGGAAGATGATGCGGGCGCCCGTGCTGTCACGCACCCTGCGGATCTTGCCGCCCCCCTTGCCAATGAGGAACTTGTGGTACTCCGGCTTGGCACGGATATCCACTGTGAAGCTCTTGGTTTGCTGTAGAGACATCCCAGGCAGGACCCTGGCATCAGCCGACTGCACGGAGACCAAGGTAGGTGGCGCCTGCAGCTCCCTTGTGGGCACAGCCTCTGTGCCCAAGCTGATCCTTGAGCCATCACAGGATACACGATGGTGCTGGGAGGTGTCCTAACACTGGAGGTTCACTGGGAGAACAGAGCCCAGGACCAGAGGGAAGCCCCAGAGGCCTCGCACTGAACTGGCCGACACAGACCGGCCAGGGAGAGGAGTGCATGGTCCCACACAACATGTGAGGACTAGGCCCGCCTTGCCGGGTCGCTCTAACAAGACACCTGGAGAAAGGAGGCTACTCACTGGGAAGAGTCAGGCGTAAGCTCTAGGAAGCCCGGTGCGCACCCACAGAAGCACTCACCCACTGGGATCACGTGACTCAGCAACAGGCAGGAGGGCACGCCCGTCGCACAGCAAGTGGACTCAGTGCAGCTTGGGGGACTCCAAGGAGCAGGCAGAACTGCCCCAAGATCAGTGGTGAGACTCACACCACTTCACCTCAACACAAAGCCAAGCTCCCTGCCCCAGTGGAGCCCACCCAGCAACCCTGCAGCACAGGGCGGAGCCGCCCCCGTGGGATGCTGAGGCTAGGACTATGGGAGCAGAAAGCCTCATCTTTCTCCCATGGAGCGGCTAGTGGTTTCAAACCGCCGACTGTGTGGTGAGCATCTCCATGTGCCATCCACTTGTCAAGAATGATTGTCAGGAAAGTTAGACTAAACACAGCTCAAATCAGACCATGAGGCTGAGGGCTGTTTCTCCATGAAGTACACGGAGAGGCCCTTTTCGGTGGAGCTGGGCACAGGACTGAGCAAGCATGTGGCCCTCCGACAGGGCGCAGTGCTCTTGCCAAGCAGACGGTGGATGGAGCATAGGCTTCCTGTTGCACACTGGTGGTGGTGGTGGTGGGGTGCTCACCTTCTCCTCGGCCAAGTGCAGGAGCTGCTTTTTGGCCTTTTCCACGTCTGAGGAAGGCCCCCTGATGACAACCGTGTCGCTTCCGGAACCTTCCACGGGAAAATGGATGTGGACACCACCGCACTCCTCCATGATGGACCGGATCAGGCGGCCCTTGGTGCCGATGAGGGAGTTATGCAGCTTGGCCGGGATGGAGACCTCCACTTCGGCGATGTTGGCCTGAGACCAGCACAGTGGGGGGTTGGAAGTGCAGTGAGCTGGCTGCCACACCCCAGGAGACACCACCAATGGGGCTACCGCTTCAGGGTACATGGAGACGGGGGCTCAGGGCCCTGGGGAGGTGCAGAGGAGGTGGAGGAAACGGAAGTGCTCAGAAGGAAAGCTCAGTCAGGTCTGTGGGCCTGGAAGCTCCCAGCAGTCTCCTGCCCTATGAAGCCCCTGGGCCAGAACGCTGCTTCCAGCTGAGAACCACCACAGCAGACACCACACATGAGGTGGGCTCCAAGACAGACACAAAGGTGAGGTGGAGGAGGGGGTGGGGGTGGGCAGGGGGCCACCGTGTCATCCCCATCAGGCCAACCAGACAGCTGCACCACGTATGGGACATGGGGTGCCCTTCTAAAAGGACTAGATCTTAGTCACAGCAAATCATGGGCCAAACACTGCCCTGAGCAGGCCTACCAGGCCTTCCTTCCAGCGGCCCAACTGAGCAAGGTTCACACCAGCTCCCTTCATCCAGCATTTCCTAGACGATTAGTCAGTCAGTCTTCATGGGGGCAAGCTTCTCGTCCTTCTCCCAAGGAGCAGCTGGTGGGTTTGAACCACTCACCTTGAGTTAGCAGCCTAATGATCAACTCCTAATGCCACCAGTGCTCCTTAAAACTACAGGAATGCAGAAACACCCAACACACAATGAAGTGAAATCCAAAGTCGGCTATTCAATCCAGAAATGCCAGGCCTGGAACAGGGAAACTGACCCACTAGCGGGAAAAAGCAGCAATTCGTGGTGTCAGAATGGGGGAAGACACCGGGGCCGCTGTGTCACCCACACCGCACTGCACTGTGCAGCCCACCTGTACTGCAAGCTGGGAAGTGGGCGGAGGGCCCTCGGCGGGGCACTCAGTCCAAACTCCGCCTCCGAGAGAACGGGAAGTCTGAGCAAGCACCCGCCAGACGGGCTGCAGACGGCACGAGGTGCACTGGGCTCGGAGAAAACAAGACCCCCGTGCACGCACAGCCGGCAGACAGACAGACAGACCAGCAGGACCGCGGATGGACCCACCCTGAATCTCCGAAGGAGGAGAGAGAGAGAGAGAGAGAGAGGGGTTAGCAGAGAAAAGGTTAAGAGAGGAACGATTTATCAAAAAAGCTGCCATCTAGCTGGAAAGCAACAAAGCCCACCAACCTGTGTGATTACGAGGTGCCGAAGGGATCAGTTATCAGGCATCAAAGAACAAAAATCTT